AAACACTATCTGCCATATTTTCTACCTCTAATATTCTGCAAACCATGCCCAGGCTGCAAGTTTAACTCCAACTGGCTTACAGGCCACTGTATACTAGAAGTTTTCACTACAATATCTACACAATTTCTGAGTAAAAGAACAAGTAACAAAGAACTCAAGCTCAATACTAACTACATAGATCTCCTCTACTTCACATCACTCAAACACTCTATTATCTTACTACTCCTACCTAATATAAATATTATAAACTCCCTAGCTCTAATTTTTTTTCATATTAATAATGTATATTAGATACTAACTTAGTATATTCTTAGCAACACTAATACATAGAGATTACATTCTATACAGATAGCTTAGTAATAGACATAGATACTAGTAACTGCTGACTAATGATGACCAAACTATTAATAGCTTTTTTGCCAAAACCTCTAATTGGCCCTCATCATACAAAGCAGGACTAATAGCAATTTTAGTTACTATTGCTATACTACTCTGAAATGCCAAAGTCAACATATTTGCAGACTCCCAATCTATTATATCTAAGTACTACAAGCTTCTGCATACCTTCCCCAAATCTTCTAAGTTCTTCAAGTTTAACTACTAGCCTATCTGGTATACATTCCTAAATGTTATCCAGGTTTTCAATATTCAGCTTTTATTACACAAAGTTTAGGCATACTCCAATAACTGATTCAATAATATAGCAGACACTACTTTTCTATTTAACCATACCAATATACACAATCCACACTTTACTATCATATAAAAGAATATAATATAGAAAAACCAACAAGACTATTTGTCAAAAATATTTGCAGAGCATGCATAACAGCACTATGGTCATCACAAAAGTAAAACACTGAATGGGAAAACACAACCCAGACAACCGACTAGAACTCCACCTGGCTTTACCTGAACAATAACCAGAAACTCTCATCCAATATTACATCACTCAAACTAAACCAAATAAAGGTATTTAGAATCAAATATCTACTTAATAATCTTCCAATATATTTCTACTTTTATCACATAACACCCAAAATCTACCAGGCTAGTAATTGCTTCTTCTGTGGCACTTTGAACTCTTCAGATCACTGGATTAGCTATCACAGCCCACTAACTTCTAAACAAATAATTAACACTATCATTACTCAAATAGTAACAAATACTTTAGTAGCCTAGCTCTGACTCAACATATAGCTATAGCTAACCTTATTAAGTCTTACTCCTCATTTAACTTCTTATCCACTTCTTTCTTACATACTTACTAGCTACCTACTACACTAAAAGGCTTTATTCCAACCTATCTATTACAATCACTCCAATTCCTTGACTTATACTACAAAGAAGCAGCTAATATTGTTATACAAATATTGCTTATTATATTAGCAGAGATCTATAAACAAATCTGAAAACTGTACTGTGACAGATTCACAAAATAGAAGAAATAGCACAATATATTATTCTACAACAAAGGCATATCTATAAACACACAAACCCATACCTGTACCAAGTGTCAATGAAAAAAGCTAACCTACAACTGCTTCTGAAACACAGCTAACCAACTATATGAGGATAATAGTACCTGTCTCTCCAAAGAACAAGCTCAGCTAAAATTTAACCAATAGTCTACAGTGTGGATCTAACACAGTATATATACAAACTATATATTAACTATTAAAACCTAGGTGAGCTCTGACTACTCTAGTAAATTTAGATCACAGATAACTAACTTATTTTAAGTTTTTAGTCTGAGCTCTTATTTTTGTATGTAATTTATATTGTTTTGTTGCTATTATATATATCTATATAATATCTTGTATAAATTACCCAATAAAGATACAAGCAAGTCTTCATCTTAATACAAAAAAAAAAAAAAAAAAAGTATATACTTAATAAAGAAACAAGAAACTAAATCTCACCTTAAAAATTAAAATATATATATATTTTTTAGTAGTTTTTAACTATTTTTAACCAGGGGTAATTTAACCACCCTTATTAAAATTTAGGGTTAGAGTGCAGTTTTAGAATTTTTTTTTTTTTTTATATAATATAATATATATGTATTAGATATAAAGTTTTGACTTTAGTTTTTGTGAGATTTTTAGAAGTTTTGACCATTTTTACTTAGAGTACCCGATCCAGTTTACTTAGTACATTTTTGAGATATAGCACCCCTGGTGATTTAACCAAGAGGGCAAGTTAGCAATAGTCTTTTTAGTAAATCATTTTAAAAACTTTTTTTTAATTTTAAATTTAATTACAAATATTAACTTTAATATAAAAATTAGCAAAACTTAAAAAAGAAATTTAAAAAAATAAAACTAATAAATATAAAATTATTATAAAAGTATAAAAATATTTATAATAATCAAACAAACAATCAAATATATTATTTATCTAAAAGTAAAACTATCAATAAAACTAAATTATATCGCTAATACAAAAGCTTTAAAAATTATAAAGCTTTAAAAACGCATAATTACCACTTTTAAATATTTTAATTTTTGTATAATTAGTTTTACTTTGTAGTGTTTTGCTATAGTTGTAGCAATTAAATCACTTTTACTACTTATATAATAACTGTTTTAATTCGTTTCAACATAAAATAAAATAATACAGTACTATAATTTATAAACTGTATATATTATATATCACTATATAATTAGATATTGATTATGTATAACATATTTCAAAAACGAATAGCTCATCAATTCAGATTAATTGCTTGTTAAAAAAAAGTAAAATTAAAATAGATTGGCAAAAAAGTAGTTGTATAACAATAGCAAAAAATACAAAGTAATTATGAGAGTCAATTAACAATAACTTTAGATAATTGGTATTTTGCCACAATTTTAAATGTGGCTGGCTTTAGGGGGAACGGCTATAAAATTTTTCTATTATACATAATGTAAACTAAAAAAAGATTTATTAAATAAATTTATACTGTACTATCAAAAAATTTTCTATATTATATAAACTAAAAAATAAATATACAAAAAAAAAAAAAAAATCCACCCCAACAAGTTTGTATAAAAAATTTTTTTATTTTTCTCACACCCCTTCCCCAAAAGTTTTGTAAATACTATAGATACAACTTCAAAAAAAAAAGTGAAATTCGGGTATACGGGGCTTTTTTTCAAAACAAAAGCTTTTCATTCAATCGGCATTTTAAAAATATTTAATCTAATTCTAAATGAAATTGATTTTTTTATATAATATAAATTAAATAATATATATAATATATATAAAAAATAAATATAATATACAAATATATATACATATAGATGAATATAATATATATGCAATTTATTCTACTGTATAACTATAATATCTCTAAAATATCTATGCAATATATATATTTACTGTATAATATATATATATATTATTATTTCAATACGAAGAAAAGAATATCGATATAGAAAAGCATTGACTTTCGAGAAAAAAAAAATACATGGTAAATATTTTGATCTAGACTTATGCGTATGGAATTGTTAGTTACGCGTTCAATTCATTATAACATATGCAGTATTTTTTTTTATTTTTTAAATAATCACCAAAAGCAGTTCGTTACACACGACCATTTTTTTAAAAAATTTCGCTCATAATAAAATTATTCCATAAATCGTAATCATAAAAAAAAAAAAAAAAAAACAAAAATTTAAAAATTGGTTACTATATTCCTAAATACAAATAATCGTAAAAAAAAATTTTTTATCTTAAAAAAAAAAAAAAGAAGCTACCAGAGTTCTTTAAATTATCTTTAAAAAAAAATAAAAACAAAGGTACATACAAAAAAAGAAAAGAAAAAAAGGAAAAGAAAAGAGGAAGAAAGCTATAGATTAAAGTGCTGTAATCATGCATCTATTTTTTTTCATAATTTGAGCCTTGAGAATTGTTGTTACCGGTAGTTGCAGGACCGCTATTCATGTATTTTCGCAAAATTTTATTAATCGCATATATAACGCAACTCCACGGAAAGACCTTGACATCCTTTTCAATATTTCTAGGTTTCGGAGCAGGAAAACCCATGATTACTCTAAATAAATCTTCACTATCTTTTTTGTTTTTTCCTACGGTTAATGGCTTAAAAATTTCCAAATTTCTACGAATTCTATTTTTTTCATCTTGAGTTAATCTAATTCCAGTTAAACATTCTAATAAATAAATACAATCTACAGAAGTAATATAATAATCATCTTTTGCTTCCCACCAAATACATGAAACAAAAATTCCATATTTTGGTCTTTTATCAGGTTTAACAGGTTTAAAAGTAACTCTAATTTCATCACCTTCAACACGTCGAATAAATTGTATTAATCTTCTTCTATTTCTAAAATCTTTTACGGACCAATTTTGAGCCATTGATTGAATATCACCATCAATTACAAGTTTAACTTTGTTTAAAAGTTCATAAAGTTGAGTTTTACAATCAGATTCATTGGAATTAATATTTTTTGGACGAGAAGGTTTATCAGAAGATGGAACCATTGGGCTTTCCTTTAAAGTGATTGATGGAATAACAGGATAACCAAGATATGGATACATTGATGGAGGGAAAAAAGAGCAAAAACCAGGATGAATATTTGGAGAGATGTTGGGAGAAATGTTGGGAGATGAAATTTGATAATTCATCGATTTTACAGTAGCTGGAGTAGGTAAATCATCCGTAGTACTAGAATCACTATAATTCGTTGGAGAAATTGGACCAATTTGCGTGTCATTAGGAGATTCACGAGCATAAACTAGATCAGGTGATTCTAAAGAAGCCTTTTTGTTATAAATCGAATCTAATAATAACGTAATAATAAAAAAATAAATTAAATAAATAAATAATATATATAATATAATATAATATAATATAACATAATATAACACAATATAATGTAATATAATATAATATAATATAATATAATATAGATAATAATTAATTAAATCTCAAATATCATTATAATTTATCTTACCACTGAAAGAATCATCAGAAGCAGTGGAATAAGGGGTCGAAGCGGATGAAGAGTAAAATGAACAAGGGTCACTTTGTATATCAGATTGAGATTCGCTACTCATCATTTCAACTATGATTAAATAAAAAGTCAGATCCATTTGAACCTATAATTCATGAATTAATAAAAATCGTAGTTACCCTCACGATAATTTTGTAAATTAAAAGCTTGTTGCGACTGCTCCGAAATGTTTAAAGTAGATTTCTGTTGTTCTATGACAGAGTTATCACGGTTATCATAAGAATAAAAATTATAAATATTTGTTTGGGTACCATAAACTACATATTAAAAAATATTATTGTATTATTTGTGTTAAAATAAAAAAATTATTATATGAAAGACACGAAGGACACGAAGCAATAAATTACTATTAATTACCACCAGAGTTATTTTCACTCATATATAGTACCTCATTTTTGAGAGGTGGAGTAACTGACGTAGTTGGGGAAGTCTGTTCAACACCATTAGAGATAGAATAAGGGTGGTATAAACATCCTTGAGAAGAATGGCGACGATGTACTAATATGATAGAACAAATTAAAAAAAAAATTTAAAAAAGTTTATACGTATACAAGATATATAAAATAAATAATATATAATATGTGTAAATATATATATATATATATATATATAAAGAAAAAAAATATACGTTTAGTCGTGTCATCGATGTCAATGTCAAAGTCAATACCAGATTTAACGAGACGTTTGTGCGGAGATATTTTGTCTAAGTGCAGAAGTGATAAAAAAAAAAGTATGGTCAATATGATAAAATAAATATATAATAAGATAAAATATATATAATAACGATAAGGAAATAAGGTAGATAATAAATCAGGTAAGAACAAGTTTATCGTAATTTAAAAACCTACCTTTAAAGACAAAATCGCCAAGATGCCATTTATCAATAGGAATATTATAATCATTACAGATTATCACATTTACAGGAACTTTAGATCTATTAGCACTTTTAATATGTTCTTGACTAGGAACGATTCCGATAAGTTCATAACGAGAATCAGGTAAAGCAACTTGATGAGTTTCCACCATTAAATCGCCAAAAGCCAAGTTAAGTAAGACATTATTGAGGTTTGGTAATTCAAGATATACTTCGACAGAAAGACGAGTACCGACACGACCACTTTTTGGAAAGAATTTTAAAGTTCTTGGACGATTGGATAAACTTGGAGTATGAGAAACGCCGGTGATGAAAGGGAAATTATGAAAAGAGACAATAGAGGGCGTTGCAGGGGTTGAAGGTATTGATGGCGTAGATGTGGAGGACATAATAGTGTTAGGATGCGGAGAAGCGATAACAGGAAGCATGTCACTCTTATTAAATTGATAATAATTCGCATTCGACTGAGATGGTGATGCGATATAAATGGAATGGTGAACCGATGACGAATCGTAATAATCGGGGACCTCTCGTGTATTTTGGATAGCTATTAATTTTTAAGGATAACCGAGTCACGATATTAGAAAGAAAAACAGATGATAAGCACGCGATCACATTGTGCAAAAAATGTTTAATTTTTACCTAAACTTTCCATTAATATGTATGTGAATTA